AGAGTTACGTCGTTGATTCAGATGGTTAGGTTAATAGCTTGTTTAGAGAACCTTTTCATGATATGGTAATTTTTTGAGACAGGCATTTTGGGTTTTCATGAGCTGTATGCCATAATCATCAGTATTAAAACAATTAAAGACCTGAAATATTTCAGTTGGTGTGCAATGAATCTGAAATATATGAAAGTTTCATTTTTATCATTACATTATGGAAAATAATGACCTTTATCACAATATGCTAATTTTTTGAGAAGGACCTGTAGACGACCAGCCATTTTCAGTCGTTGAGGACAAAGGTTTTAGAAGCTTGATGCAGCACGTGTGCCCACGATATAATATGCCGAGTCGGAAATATTTTTCTGATGTTGCATTACCAGAGTTGTTCAGCCAAGTTTCGAGAGACACCCGCAGCCTGCTAAAAGCTAATACAAATACACTCAGCTTTACAACAGACATCTGGACTTCTGATGTAAGTTTAATGTCCATGTTAAGTTTTACTGCACAGTGGATTGACGAACAGTTCGAACGTCATCAAGTACTCTTGAACTGTAAAGAAATGGTGGGGTCTCACACTGCGGCCAATTTATCAGCAGAGCTTAAGGCGATGCTGAATCACTGGGAAATCGATAATGGAAGAGTTCACGTTGTTTTACGGGATAATGCTCGTAATATGGCCAAAGCGCTGGATGATATCAACCTGAAAAGTTTACCCTGCCTGGCACACACACTGCAACTGGTTGTAAATGAGGGACAGCTGGCGCAGCGCAGCATCACAGACATGGTGGCAACAGGAAGGAGAATTGTTGGACATTTTAAGCATTCATCACTTGCCTATTCCCGACTTTATGACATACAGACACAGTTAGGTCAACCCAGGAAACGATTACAGCAAGACGTTTCAACGAGGTGGAGCAGCACAGTCTACATGCTGCAGTCACTGTTGGAGCACAGACGTGCTATTGGCGTGTATGCTGCTGAGCATGAGTTACCAGCCACACTCACAGCACACCAGTGGGAGCTACTGGACAATGTGCTCACCATTCTTGCACCTTTTGAGGAACTCACAAAGGAGATTAGCTCATCAACAGCTACAGCAGCAGATGTCATCCCAGCCATCACTGCACTCAAGCGGATTTTGGAGAGGCAAGCGAGCACAGACCGTGGCGTGGGTACAGCCAAAGCTACGTTGCTGGAGGCTGTTGTGAGAAGATTCAGCAACATTGAGCATGAGCCCCTGTACAGCTTGGCCACTGTTCTGGATCCAAGGCAAGTAACTATTAACATTCTATTTTAGCCATAATTACTTTTAGCCTACTACTATATTTCAACAAACATTTAAATTAAATTAAAAATAAAAATTTCTTGATTGAAATGCATTTCTTTATTTACATGCAAGTCATAAAAACTGTTAATGTATACAAAACACAATGATTGACCCATCTTTCTTTGTTTATGCAAAACAAGGTACAAGAATCGCTACTTCTCAGCAGAGGTGAAAGATGACGTGAAACGGCTCCTTTTGACCAAACTTGCCGAGGGGGAGACCAGATGCACACCTGCTGCAGGAACATCCTCTGAAGTGGGACCTCCTGATATAGATGAACCTGCAGCCAAAAGGCGTAGTCTACTGTTTGCAGCTCACGACGAAATCTTGAAGGAGAACATTGAACAGGAGCAACAGCTGGCCAGCCCTTCAGCTATGCAGGTACAGAACTACCTATCTGAGGTTCCTGTCGAAAGGAGCCAGGACCCATTGGTCTACCGGAAGATCAATGAAAATCGTTTCCCTCATCTTGCTCTACTTGCCCGAACCTATCTCTCTGCCCCATGCACAAGCGTTGAAAGCGAGCGCCTGTTTAGCTTGGCTGGACATGTAGTAGATGAGAAAAGAAGTCGCCTGTCTGGTGACAAAGCAGAAATGCTTTTGTTCATCAAGAAAAACCTGCCACTAATGAAAGTGACTGGAATAAGTCTGTGAGAACTAACTTACCTGTGCCAGTGTTATTTCTTATTACCCACTGACTTGAAAATGTTACACTTGTTTCATTATCTTTTTAAGTTTTGTTTTTTTTTTTTTTAAATGTAACAAGTGAAAGAGTTGAAGGAACTGAACATTTTTTTTTGGTTAATTTTATAGTTTTAACAAAAATTGTGTAAACTTCATTTATATTTCAGAATACTACCTCATGACAAGTTAAAACAACAAGTTTGTATTGTTTCTAGGGTATTTTTCAAGGGTATGTTTTACAATAAAATAAGATTGGTAAATTGAAGGTGCATTGTGATCTTGTAACACCTGACACTGTTGCTTATAAAAAAAAAAATCGGTATTGGCCAAAATCGGAATCGGCAGTTCAGACTTTCAAAAAATTGGTGATCGGCCTGAAAATTGAAATTGGTGCACCCCTATATTAAATGAAAATAATTTTATTTACACCTAAAAATCTGATAGTTTAAAGTCACTAAAAAAGCACTAAAAAATATGTTGATTTACTCCATGGCTCACATAAAGTTTAAATCAGCACACTGTCACTAAATCAAACTGTAACTGGTGGTGTATAAATTATAAAGTATAACATGTTACCTGACAACTTTATTATAAAATAAAAAAAGTCCTATTATTCTATTTTTATATCTAGTTTAATTGTAAACAGGGTTCATGTGTCAGCATGTGGAACAGTCTTTACTTCTGAGAGATTTAGGCTCTAAAATGTTTGTTTATATCCAGTCCTCTTACTGGCCTGTTGCCAATTGACCTAATTTGTTCTAGAGATGCACCGATTCGATACCAATATCATTATATAAAAAAAAAAAACAACATAATAATAATTCTGGATCGGGTATCGTGGCAATGTGACTGATCCATGACTGGGCAGATCTATTCACTCTAATTCTGTGCTTTGTGCTCTGAATGGCGTCACGTGCTAGCTTACTGACTGAACAAATTAAAGTTGTGTTGTTTTTTCGTTTGACCGAGCTTGTGAAGCTCCTGGTGTGTTTAAGTGTGCTGCTCTGGTGCACAGTTTTCAATAAATTTGTAATTCAGTACATTCATGTCTGCGTTTAACAAAACAAACATTTTAAGTTAATTCAGCACTGGGTTTGTAAGTTCAAACATCTAGGTAGACAACAAAAATGGATAAATCATGTCATATGGACCCGTTTCAGAAAAGGGTCCAGAAGACATCATTTAGCCATTTTTGTTAATTCAGCACTGTTTTTCCTGTATCGGATCGATATCGGTCGACACTAAACTGCAGATAATGATGCCATAAAATTAAAAAGTATCTGTAAAAAAAAAAAAAACATGATAAAATTTTTAGTTTCAACATAAGATGTGTTTATTATTATTATTATTTACTATGCTGTGGGAACAAAATATGATTTGAAAATCCTTGCATTGTTTTGTTTAAAATGTTTACACATATATGCAATGTAAAACCACATCAAATCAGCTAAAAATACTAGCTAAAGTATTAGTGCAAAAGGTTTTTTTCCGTGGCGGGCTGCCCAGAATTGGGGCTTATTAGGGGCAGTGCAAATGGGGCAAAAGACGAGCAGTCTCAGGTAAAAAAAACACCCACATGGCCCCATCCCCCTCTGCTTTCACCTCCCACCCCTGCCAAACAGATAAACAACCTCCCCCCTCCTTTCAGACTGAGGCTCGAGGTTATTTGTCAAGGGCCAAAAAAATCTACAGGAAGAAGAAGAAAAAGATGCGGGAGTTTGAGTTTGGTGTGATAAAGACACGGTGAGAGTGGCAGTGAGTCATGACGTTTGAAAGACTGGTGATATTTAGCGTCAGTGTTTCCCCTACCATTATACAAGCGGAGCGCCCCGCCCTGTCAACAAAACCGAGTGCTCCATGCCCCCATCTACCTAACGGTGTGCACCCCCTCCAAACACCTGTCGGCACTGACGTAATGCTAAGCTAGCGGCTCGCAATACAGTTGCGCTAGCTAAAAAGCTAAAGGCAGCCTCTTCCCTCATGCTGAACCCTCACGCTGACCCCCCCACACACACGAAAACTGTTAGTACAAACAGCGCGCAGCTGTGTCTCTGTCGCCCCCCTTCCCCCCCCAGAAAAGACTAAACTGTCGGTATAAACAGTCCCATTCCCACCCGCTCCATGACAAAAATCACGGACGAGATGAACGCCCCCACCTTAACAAGTCATCGTTGGGAAACACTTGTCTGATGAAACCATAATTAAAGTGTTGGGTCATTTGTCTAACGGTACATTTGGATGAAAATATAAGAAGCTTGCAAGCCTGAGAACCCCATCCCAACTGTAAAGTATGGAGGTGGCAGCACCATGATGTGGGGGTGCTTTATTACAAGAGGGACTGGTGACCTTCACAGAATACAGGGTATGATGACAAAAGAACAATAGGAGGAAATATTGAAGCAGCATCTCAAGACATCCAGCAGAATGTAAAAACTTGGGACACAAATGTTTCTTCTAAACTGAGAGTGACTCCAAGCAAATTAGTTCCAGAGGCTTCAAGACAATAAAGTCAGTGTTTGAGAGCGGCCGTCACAGAGCTCTGATATATGATTTGACTGATTTTAGATGTTCAAAACCAAACTTTAACCTAAACTTTCTTCTCCTTTAGTAAACATTAAACATTGGTAAGGTGTGAAATGACGTGCGTGTGGTGTCAGATACCTCGAAGCGGTTCTGACGTGATGGAACGTCCACAGCCGTCAGGTCGATAAAGCTCTTGAACTGGGCGTTGGTGTGATCACTCAGGAAGGTCAGGACAGGAATCACTCCACTAGGATGGATCATCACCTCCAGCTCATTAAAAGCCGTCACCTACATGAACACTCACGTTAGACTGTCTGCATCTTTCTGAACGTGAAAACTCCAAATGTAATTTTTTTTTATTTTTATCTGAGACTTATAAAATGGAAATCCAGACAGGTGCTGACACCAGCATCACACTGACATCTGCTGCACACTGATGGATGTTTGTTGTTTTCTGAGTCAGTGAATGCACCAACAGCAGCCCCATCATCATCATCATCACATAAAGAATACAACTGATCCAGAGTACCAGTACTATGACAGCGTTACATGAAGACTCTGAACTGACCTGAGCACGATGAACATACTTGGGCATGATTTCAGCCACATATTCTCCAAATGCTGTCAGCTGGTTGAAAATAACTGATGAATCCTTAGGTCTGATAGTGGCTGCAGAAAAGGACAGAGTGTTACTTCATCCCGACAGTACTTTATGTGTACTTAAAATATTTAATTAGTCTGAGTCCAAACATCACATCTGACACAGCTGTCAAATTCAGTGGTCCAAATATCAATATCATCATCATCATCAGGCCTTTGCATTCAGTGACAGAAAATGTTCTGAGGTTTTAAAATACTGTGTACTCTGCAGTATGTGTGTACTCTGCAGAAACAGTACAAGTGTTCTCTGCAGTAACAGTGCGTGTGTGTACTACTCTACTGTACAGTGCGTGTGTAATCTGCAGTAACAGTATGTGTGTACTTTGCATTAACAATGTGTGTACTCTGCAGTAACAGTATGTGTGTACTCTGCAGT